TGAACCCATCAAACCCCATGGAACCAGCCCGAAGTCAGCGACTTTCTGAAGTAACACGGATGCAACCGGAGCAGCTAAACTATCTAAACACCGGCCTTGGATCTACAGAAGCCAAGTGGTCACATGTCGCAACCCCTGCTTGTAGTAGTTTTCCGCTACAGAAGGAAAGCCGTTCCTGCTCTTAGCTTGCTTGCATCTCACAATTTATAGCTGTATACTAAGCCAATTAAATAAGTGGAATTTCATGAATTTTCTTCTGAGTCTGAGGCATTTTCCCCTGAGGTCCATGTGATCATCTTCATTTGACAGGTCTTCATGTTCATCACGCTGATGGTCAATGCAAATCTTTCGGCTCCAAAAGCCAAAGCTCCAATGACTCATCTTACTCCACCTCGAAGGAACATGTTTCCCCACTTCTAAGGGGCTGAGTCCATGAAATGACTCCCAAGGGCCGCCCCAAATCCACCTCCTCCACCTCATCCAGCCACTCCACTCCTCCACTCCTCCACCCACTCCCGATGCCTCGCTCTTCCGGGGGCCCTTTAAGCATCGGACCGCCAACTCACATGGGCACACGCGCACCTCGAGGTCCACGAGCGCGCGGTCCGCGCCAGGTGGCGGAGAGCAGTGGCGGATGGTCCCGCGGAAAAGAAGGGGGAAAGCACAAGATGGAAGTGGGTGGCATATGGTGGCATAGATTGGCATGTATGGAAACTGATGGAAAGTGAGTAACTTCCGACTGGAGTCCCGTTGGATGTCCTGGAAAATAAAGGTGACACCTGTATCCAGCTGTTGGATCTTAGGTGGGGAAACCAATTCCCTGAACAGTTTGCAGTTTGTGCCGGTTATCCCCTTTTCCTAGGGAGGTGTCCCTGAAGCATCTTGATTCTTCGGTGCGCATCCAAACTGGGGTGCAGTTAACAATTCAAAGGCTGGGGCAAACAAAAAGAGCAGTAAGATTATCTGCCAACAGTAAGATCAGACCTTCCGAACAGTTGGTCAATTTTTTGGCAGAAGTCATCTGCTTGTCACTCCTTCCAACCAATCTGAAGGAAGAAGCAAAATGATTCACCACCGTTTCGTGACACTGGTTACCTCATGCATGTCCTCTCTGCTTCATGGTCTTCATGCCATGCCGGAGTCGCACCTCCCCACCCTGCGCGTCACATGGTTTTTGGTTCGAACAGCTTCCCCACCTGCCCCGTCCAAACGAGCTCTTCCATCCAAACATGTGACCCAAAACTACAGGGAAACCACGGGTGAAACAAAGCTCCTCATGTTTGTGATTTATACTGAATTATCTTCAAACAATCCAAGGTACTGGCATATTCACCTGCAGTGGTTTGAGGGGTCAATGCATGTACAGACACATATTATATATTCTTTCCTATTCACTCCATACATGGGTTCTAGGGGTGCAGCATCTTCACAATAGGACCCGCCTCGAAGTCAGCTTCGTCCAAGCCTTGGAGTGGGTTCTAGCGATCTTTGGGGAGCTTCCGGTATAGAATGAAACGGCCTGTCGAATTCTCCATATCTATTCTATCATATTCTATCATTCTTTCTGAAACAGTCTATAGTTATATACTATGTGATGATCTATGTACTTGGCCTGATGTTGGTTGGTCTCAATCTGTTCTATTACATGAGCGACGTGTAAAACCTCTTGTGTGTTTTAGTGCGCACTCTTCCCAACGTCATCGTTTTTTTTCTGCGAACCTTATCGTTCCTGAGGGTTTGGACACACCTAACACTATGTGAGCTTGTGTAAAGACCCCTCTATCTTTGCCTTATAACTCTTGACGTTGTCGTTTTCTTCCTTATCGTTTTACGGTACTTTGGCTAATTGCAACAAATGTAGTATAATGTTGTGTGTGCACTACATGCATGTGGTGTGTGGAACCTTGCAGGCATGAAGACACTTCATTCCAACTACACCCATGTGGTGGCCTGCTTACGGAAAGATGTTTTAGGCTCGCTGGCTGTGTTCTCGCTTTTGTTATCGCTGTGTTATCGTTTTCATGCCTGGTGCAAGTTGGAAAACCATGTGGCACAACAATGCTGTAGCACAAGGCTGACATGCACATACCCACCGAGAGCAGTCATGCATTGACCCTGACCATTTGGAACAGTATATAGTAGGTTTTCTGTTTGTGTGTGCACGTGCTTTTTTCACACCACTTCTGGCATGTCAATGGTTTTCCACAAGAGTCATCGGGGGTTGTCGTTTGTATTTCTTCCTGATCGTTTTACAAGGGATTGAGCATGCTTCCAGAAAAAACGGACATGCGAATACTAAGTTCTTACATGTGGGGTTTTTATACTCTCTCATGTACTAAAAACATCCAAAAACCGTATCGTTATTTTGTGAACCTTATCGATTAGCGTTCCTGAAAGTTTCACTCATTTTACTTACTTGGTCTTCACTGTAGTGATGCTGCCTTCATCGGAGGTTTTGGCAGTTGCTCACATAGACCTGTCCAATCTGCAGATTACAATATAACATACTTGGGTCGTCCACCTCGTTTCATCCAACCCTCATGGCAGCATCACTCCACATCAACCACCACTCAACACACCCCAAAAGACCCACAGCTCTGGACCGCTCAACGCACAGCTCTGGATCTCCAGGCTTTCCAAAGCTTTCTCCAGAGGCCAAAAGAGCTGAACGCTGCCGGTGTTCTGTCGCCAACGCAAGGCCTGAACGCTGCTTCCAGCCGTTGGATTTTTCCCACGAGACGCGCGGTGGGAGAAGTTTGAGCATCGGTGGGCGAGATGGAGGTGAAAGTTCTGTGGAGGTGGAGGTGTTGTATACTCCAAATTCAACCAATTGAGGGCATCATCCAGTCTTCGAAGAAGCCATGGTTCATGCGAGTATCCCCATCCTCTTCCTTGATTCGTTAGGCTGTTTATCATGCCATACCGCAATATATCAACCGCCAAATAGGATAGAAACGCAGATCCCTACTAAAATGTATTGGACACCGTGCCACTATCTATTTGGGGGATCACTACACAGTCTATGCTTGGGTTGGTCCTACCCTCCATCCCAAGCTCAGCAAGACTGAGGGAGGGCAGCCTGACGGGCAGCCCGGGCTGTATCTCATCCAAAGAAACCGCTTCTGAATGTGTAAGAAATCTGAAGACATCCTCCCTACCCTATGCTCAAGGAGGGGTAGTTCTTCTATGTTCTAAGTGACATTCTCTCCCCACAGATTGCTTGCCAAGAGGGTGGTTTTCCGTCAGAAATCCCACCCCGAAAGATCCGAAAGATCTGCGTGGAGAGTCGACACGAAAGGAAACCCCCGGCCCGCTCCGCCCCTTCCGCTCTCCCCGCGATTCGCCCATCATGTTGGGGGCGGTTACCAGGCTACTATTCCAGGAGTCCCTGTGGAACCATGGTATACATATGTAATTAAACATGATGCAAAGCAGCCCTTCCACTCGTCTGCTATGGTCAACCTCCAAAAGGCTCACACCAGCGATTTCAATCTACCGGGTCCCGGATGCTTAGTTTGGACCGATGGCCAAATATGGAAGACATCCATAGACCTCCGCCTTTCTTTTGTATTAACTTCCTGTCGTCGCTGTCTCTCTGTCCAACTTCTCTGCTTGCAGAGAAGTGCTCTTGCTGGGCGGTGCTTCATCCACCCGTCGAGATTCGGCGTGGTCTGCCCATCTTTGGTGAAACGAGGCTAACCTCTGTCTGGATGCAAATCCAACACTCACAGGCCGGACGAAAGGGCTCGCGCGAGACATAGGATCAATTTGATGGTCAAGAACTCCGGGATACAATGACAGCATCCAAAAAGCCTTCAGTCACCAACGATCAATCCAAGAACCACCGCCAGTTGCACCAACACCATGACAATAACATACAATAGACACTCTATATTTGTATACAAACACCTCTAGTCATTCATTCTGATCTTCATGTTCCGCGCGAGCAGGCTCCGTGCGCCGAATTATCGTCTGGGTGGCGGAAAAAATGGGGGGACATTCCATCCGAATCCTCGCTAGGCGCCGGCGACCTGAGGTCGGAGATGCAATTCATGTGCATCCCAACGAGTTTCGGAGGGGGATCTTCGCATGGAAGAATGGGACCATTCCCATGTCCTGGTGTCTGGTCACCTGAGTGAACATCCATGTGCGCAGCTTTTTTCTGGAAGGGGCATTTTCTTGGTTCTGAATTTCCCGCAATGAAGGCCAGTGATGGCTCAACCTTTTTCGGGTCGCATGTTGAGGAAGGAGTCGGTCTCCAAACCCTCTCAGCGGAAAGCTCTGATGTTGGTAACAACAGGCGTGACTCGAGAGTTGATGTGACAGGCAAGGTGGAGTTTAGAGAGCATTCAAGTCTAGCGAAAACAAGGAGTTGGTGGATTGGCTCTTGAAGGAAGTTAAAGGCTAAAAGCCAACTGTTGCTGAAACCAAATAGAAGCTTGTCCGACATCCCAATAAAAACCACCGATGCAGATCTCTGCAAGCCCCCAAGATCTTTGGTGTCCATCACATTCCGTCCCCCTGGATTTCTAAGGAGGCCCTACCATCACGAGTCCTTGTACATGGGAGTGTGCATGCCTGAATCCAAAAAGAGCTCTAAGACACAATGCGCCAATGAGCTCTGCAAGATCCAAGAGCGAAAATGGTTGATGAAAACGGTACAGTACATCTCCTGCATACCGGTTGTGCAAACGTGGCACTTCAGCCTTCACCTCCTCTGTTTCTTGCTTGGCGGCCTCCTCCTGGCACATGGAAGAACTTCGGCAACTTAGGCACAGAACAGCCTCCAAAATCCGCATGGGCCATCGAAACATTAATGTATGTGTCTTGAGGTGTTTCTTGAGATTCACGTCCCCTTGGCCTATTCTAGAGGGTCCGGGTCACTTTTGTAGTCTCAGTGGTTTCAGAGTAGAAAGGTGGTTGATGTGGACCCATATAAAGGACCTCTTGGATCCTCTTAAAATCTGTGCCATCTACTCTGGTAAACCACTGTGATAGCATCATCTCTCCATGTGGGCCTCAATCATGGTCTTCATCTTTTCTCTCAGCCTTAGTACCGGCAGACTCCAAACATCGTTCGTGATGCACCGAAAGAACAAGGTACCACACCCACGCCCGGCAGCGACATGTGGAAGTGAGCCCCTTTCACTCACTCACATAAGGGTGAATGATGTAACCGGAAAGCAATGCAAAAAGAATCAACAGGTCTCAAAACGTCACAACGTCGGTGGTGGATGTGTTTGTCTGCATCCAGTTGCTCGCTGAAGACTTCAGGCTTATCTTCTCTGAGCTCATTGATCTCGCGACCCAGTTCATCCAGATCAATGCCCGCCTCAACGGCTTCCTTGGCATCCTCGACCGGGGGAGGGGCGAGTGAAACATGCCAAATATGGTGCTTGGCCTGAAATCTCATGCAAAGCATCTTAGATTTGGGAAGAATCATCTATAAAGGAAACGATTCCTTGGGAAGAATCATCTATAAAGATCCCAAATAGAGATCTCCAAAGGAAGAAACATCTATTTGGGTAGATCCACTACCTGCTGAGTTGCAAGAGTTTGTGCTGATTCCCAACACTACTCACTGTCCGTCCCTCTGGACCCCGACGTCTACGTGCGATGCGTTTCCAGCAGTTTTGAGTTCGCTCCGGCCACCTGCTCAGCAACCAATTGGATTGAGCACCAAGAAACCATGTTGAAAGAAGAACATCTAAAAACCACCCTGGAAAAGAACAAATCCTGGAAGCACCCAAAGTGCTGGAAAGTGCTGGGTGGGGTTTTATTCCATCCATGCTCCTCTCAAAACACAAATCTTCCTCTCTCAAACTCCTTGGGTGAAACTGAGAAACTCGTGACTCTGACTCATGATTCGTGACTATTGTGTTGAGAGGGACATTGAATTCAGGACATGCACGAAACATATAGAACCGGCTGAACCCATCTGATCCAGCTCATGCCGAGAACAAGCAAAAACACTCTTCTATATGGTTGGCCTCTCGGTGTGGAAGTCTGTGCTCTCTATCCAGCGGGTCACTGGAATCATCAGTGTGTCTTTCAATCTTCACGTTGTTCTCCCCACGTCCCGCCCGTAGCCCTCCATGAGCCCCCCTTATCGTCCCCATGAGCCCCACATCTCCTGATCTTCATCTTTGGGCACCAGCCAAAGGCCATCCCTCACTTTCACAGGATCGGCTGGCAGCTCCGGCCCCGAGGTATCTCTCTGGCGGTCACTCTCGCTGAAAATGCCCTCGCCAGACTTCACCGTCTTGCTGTCGGACAAGAATCCGCTCAGCTTCTTGTCTGCCTCTGAAAGAGGGCGCGGCTCCGCTGGGGTTGAGTAAAGCTAACTGTTTGGGGGCATCACATTATTTTGAAGAGTTCTCTACACTCGGGAAGAAACTGATCATTGAACATCATTGAACCATATTGAACCATATTGAACCACAGTTTCTGGCCTTCTTCTTTTCTTTCAACAAAGCCTGATTGACTCGTTGAAGCTCTTGTTGGATTGATTTGTCCTCTGGCACATACTCCAAAGCTGTCTTAAGGTCCTTCACGGCCTCATCCAGCTTCTCAAAGCCATCTTTTTGAGCAAGTGCGCGTCGGAACAAGGCTTTCGCCTTCTTCTCCGGTGGCAGCACATTCTCCTTCGGATCTGGAGGATCCTTGTCTCCCTGCAGAGCTCGTGTGGCGGTGTTCACGCAATGCTGCCACTGTTTCAACTTGAGAAAGCATAGGGACAGGTTCAGATAGGCAGCTGCTCGTAACTGTCGAACAGAATCTCTACCTTCATCCGTCCACTGCACATCCTGTTCTCCTTCAAGCGCACGAGACTGCATGATCATCTCCGAATATCGGGCGATTGCTTCTTCAAACTTACCCTCTTGCACCAACTTGTTTCCCTTCTCACGGTTTTCGGTACAGAGGTTGAAAATTGGGTCCTTCTCGACCTTGGTGCGGAGAAACTAGGGGGACAACAAAGTATCAAACGAATGAAGCCCAAACAACATGATTAAACATGTCAAAATCATCAAAAAGATCAGCTTTCACAGCTTTCAGCTTCAGCAACCGGGTGTGGCCCGCCCTTAAAGTCATGAGCTGTCAAATCGCCATCGGGACCCAGTGGAGTCAGTTGAAAGCCCACTGAATAGCCACCAGTCATTGGACCCGCCATTGCTCTCTCCGGCCACGTGGCGTCCGCAGCTTCCGCACGCGAGCGCGAGCTGCGGGAGAAAAGCTCAAAACTGCAAACAGCTGAGGCGTGTCCAGCCGGACAGGGGAGACATGTCAAGAATTGGGGCATCTTCCGTTCATGTGTCCTAGATTCCAAGCCTTGCGTTCCAATTCTGCCGGTGGTCTGCTGAACCCGGTGGACGGATAGTAGTTATATCTATAGCAACTCATCACGTCAGATGAAGAAAGCCAAGCTTTTGTAAGCAACACGGTTCCGCTATAAGCGCTGTTTTACTGTCAAAATGTCTCCTGACAAAGGATCTCCCATATTTGAAGTAGAACTCTTCTTCAAAGTTTTTCCAATGACTAAGTCTCCCCAATCGACCATGGCCTGGCTGCCACCTTCTATGGGTGCCATAGGGACATCTCGTAGACGAAAGACCGGAAGCCTTGGCCACGAGATGCGCTCGGTGGGAATAGATGGATCTCGTCTGTTGTGCAAAGACACCTGTCAAATGGATCACACGGACTTGGAGTTCTTAAAGCCTAAGATTGAAGTAAAACATGCGGCCCTCCCGCAAGGTAGTGTCAAACTGATTTCTGGAATTGCTGGAAATGTAAACGCTTGCAATGTTCATATTGTATATGTATATATTTCTAGGCCTAAGTATATAGTTGTGATAGGTTTAAACAGCCGCCTGTGGTCACACACCCCGACCAACCAACCTCCGCACGTGTGAGTTCACAGATCACACCCACTCGGACCCCACACACCTCCTTCGCCGGCCCCTGAGGCAGAAAAAGGACGCGTAGACGAATCATCGGATTTGCGGTACATGCACCTATTATATATATAATATATAAACACTCCCAGAACATGGAATAAAAACAACCCTCCACCCCCACCTATGACCTGAATAGGATGGATATAACAGTATGATGGATGAATCAAATCTTCCAAGCAGGAGTGATCTGGGTGTTGGGCCCCCCGGACACAAAAACAGATCTGACATGATGGAGTAGCGTCTGAAACAGATCCGACAGCCAACTTAAATGATGATTTCATGAAGCCTCAGGATGATGAAGCCAACTTAAGGACGCTTGTATGATGACCAAGTCTTTTTTATCAGATGATCATTGATGTGAAATATGTTTTAAAAACATTTAAAAACAAAAATAAAAGTAACGTGTGGTACTGTGGGGTTGTTGATAGATCAACCCCGGATCAAAGAATGCCTGTGAACCTCCTGGGAAGGGGAAGAGGTGCCAACACATATCATGAATCTATCATAAATCTGTTATTTCTGTACCAGTACCCTCCAACAGGTCCTTAGTTGAGGGTTGTTAAGAGCCCTAAGTGACCTGATGGGACCGACCGGCCCAGGGACCGGCGAACTCTAGGCCTTTGTGCACTCAAAGGAGGTGGCCATTCTGTTCAGGCGCAGAAGTAGATCGAGGTATGCGTGTTGGGACTTATACACCCAACATTGGCCCATGATTCGCCCAAGTCTCAATATCTTGAGCCAATGTTGGGTGTATCATGGTGTATCCCATGACCAGTGGATGATGGTTGGAACAAGGCCTAGCTGCGCCCAGCCCAAGAATAGTGTCTTTGAGCTGTGTGTGTGGCACTTATCTCACCAAATCCAAAATCAATGGCAATCCCAGAATGCACTTGGGGAGTAGAAGTCAGTTTTCACTTCAAACGGTTCTTCGCTCTGGAGTGGGTCTCTGTTTAACATAGCGTCAAGGGTTTTCATATGTCTTCAGGTCATGGCGAAAACATCGGACAGTTGTATCCGTCCCAGGCACCGACGGTCGGCACACTTGACACGTTCTTTGAAACCTGCATTCCCTCTGTTCAGTTGGACAACCCATCCAGCGGCACACTCAGCCTCGGCCACCTTTCCACTTTCCCTGGATTGGTTGTTCGATGGTCGTTGCAGAGAGTGACGGCTTGGGCCTGGCCCTTCACTCAACCAGCACCCCGCCACTCAACCAGCACCACGCCTCCTGAGCCAACACCGAAGTGTCCGTACCTTTCATCAGGCAGATGTGGGACCGTCACCGAACACCTGCCCACGATCTACCTGAATCTATCAGAGATGGTGCTGAATGCATTGGAAAAAGCTCATTCTTGCTGTGTGGAATAGCCTGCAAACACGGCCTGCCCTCGCACCTTGCGGATAACCCGAACTCATCAGGGCATCCAAAGCTCAGCAAAACTGTGTACTGCGTAGGTAGCTGTAGCTCGTGGGTGTGTTACGCTAAACTTCTGGGACTTCGTATGACTTCATGACTTGGGCTGAAAGAGCAACACGTGCGACCCAGTTTGCAGGTGAGAACATACATGGGAAATCAGGACCCGTCAATCTGAACGGTTTTTTTTCAGGTTCGTCTCTTCCTCCAATGACTGCAAGGCTACCATGTTGGCCTTTGAAGGGTGGGTCTTCAGTGCTGAAGACGGCATCTGTCTTTCAAGCCCTCTATGCTGTCAGCCGAAAGCTGCACATCTGGCCGAGCCGAAGAAGGCAGTCACTAAGGCTGGCCGAGAGTAACGCTTCAACATGAGGCATGAGGAGTAATAGAATTGACCTGATTATAATATGACAACATATGATAGTAGGAGCCGTTATAGATGTGATAATCTATCATGATATATGACTCTATATATCTTTATAACAAAATGTATGTGTATATATATATATACACTTGCTAGGTCGATGTCCAACATGAATGCTCCGATTCACTTCACCAGGCTTTGGCCGCTGACCCCACTTGACCAGAAAGGCTCGCGGTGAGCTCTTCGCGGTCGCGGTGAGCTCTTCGCGCTTGTTCCGCTTGGTCCAACGCTCCCAGACCCAGGGCAGGCCCCAGGCTCGCTCATGGGTCTGGGACAAGGTCCGATGCATGGCGCAGTATCCTCAGGTGATCGCGTGCGACCGGTGACCGCGTGCTGTGCTGAGCTGACATCAGCACCAGATACTGAGCAATGATACATTGCGTGCGGTTGTATACATCAGCACAGCAGCAGCAGATGGACATAGAGTACCAAAAAAGGCCATTTGGAGTGACAGAAACCCCTGAATACGCCTCTTTCCAGTCTTAAAGGGACCATTCAAAGAGATTGCTCCTGACAGACATGTTCTCCATCTACGACCCCAATGCATGTGTACAAGCAATCAGTGAGGTGTGAGCAAGGTAATTCCGAATTATTCCCTCCACTCATGCTCAGTGTTTTGCCATACCAGGGCAAATGAGTTTGAGGGAGTGGGGGTGGTTTATCAGGAACTCTACTGACTGACGCAAAAAAAGAAAAAAAACTGCTCCACCGGAGAAAAGTTAAAGGTTTCTGAAGACAAACCGCAGGGTCGTTTGACCGAGACTTGCAAAGATAAGGAGACCGCTTCGTGGAAGTCGGCGGAAGGGCCCTCGTAGTCCATCAAATGCGTAGCCAGCTGGACTTGCGAAATCCGGGCCAGTTGCCCAGTGTCTCCCAAGCCTTGTACCACGTCGTACTCGCAGCCTTCACAATTCACGTGAAGTAACTCCTTGGGATCCAGTGGCTCGCAGTGGCTCGCGCACCGCTCAGACCAGTGCTTTTTCCAAATAAAAATCCAATAATATTTCAAAACGCTCAGCATATAGCCTCAGCAGCTCACCTCCTGTATTCTGCTATATGATAGTGGTACTATCTTGTAAGTAATTGAACCTTTCATAGCAGAACCTCACTGTAGGTCCATGGCGTCTTAATGTTTAGATACTGTTTTTTCTATATTGCCATGAACTCTCACAGACAGCAATTCTTTCTCTCACAGACAGATTCAGACGTTCAGAGTCATGACTTCTTGCTCTTCTTTGGAGCTGTGCTAGCGATGCTCACTTCTGCCACCCGCTTCATGTAACCTTCAATGCTCGAAAATGGTGCCACAGATCGCTGCACAGCCGAGCGATAGGCCGTAGAGGCAGGGTCGTCTGCGGGCATTTGCCCTGACCCAATTGGACTCGCTTTCCAATCAGCGGGACTGCGGGAACACAAGAAAGCAACTCTGAGCATGATCCAAGGTCTATATAGCATTATATTGGGACTGTGTAAGATGTTCTTGAATATGACTTGTAATCTAAACCATATATATATAATGCAAGACCATTTATAAGTATTAATATACTATCAGACCATATTAGACCAAAAAAGTTCATCCAAAAAGTTCCTCCGAACCCCCCCCCCAAAAAAAGAATAACTCACTACACCTTGGTGCACCCGTGTTTTGTTCCCTCGCTCGACTCACCAGCCGGGCGTCCACCGAGCTCTGCCGGCTTTGCGCCAGGACCTCCGGGATCGCCTCGGCCGTGGAGCGGATCAGCACCGCCTCGGTGTCCTCCGCGGCCGGAAGCGGACGCACCCACCCAGCAGTAGAGGGCGCTTGAAAGCCGGGGCTGGACAGATCTGGTTAATACAGGTCGATTTCTGGGTGTTGGACACCATTTTACATCTCCCCCCAATTGTTGTGTTGTCTTGGTTTGATTCTTTGGGGGTGTTTTACTTGTTCCAAAGAAATGAAATGCGAATACATATTATGACATTCACACCAAAAAGGTCTGTATGGACACACAAAAAGAACACGAAGAAAAAACAGGTTGATGGGAAGCACCCTACAAATCCGCCAGATTCTACCCCTTCCTGACTGGTGCTTAGTAGGGAATGAGAGAATGAACCCTAATGAATCTCTGTTGGGTGGTCATTCCCTCATTCCCTACTAAGCACCCGTCAGCTTCCCCACCTCCAAAACGAAAGCCGCTCCTCTTCGGAGCCCTCCACCACCCGGGAGGCCGTGCCACGCACACGCAGAAAGGCGCGGCGCGTTTTCGCGCCCAGGCCATAGTTGTGCAGCGTGAAGCCCGGCACCTGGTGGACCGAGGCTCCAAAAGGCGGCCGCTTGTGGTCACAGCATGGAGGGAGAAAACTGGAGTGAAAACTGGAGCTGTTGGCATGGTTGGCATGGCTTGCTGGTGTGGAGCTGGTTAAAGGTGTAGAGCCAGTCTTCCTTCCGAGGTCAGTTCCCCTGTTTGAAACGTCAGGGTTGACCCACCCAAATTCCTCCCCAAATTCCACAGTGTTGCATCCCAGACGACCTCTCACATGAAGCGATAAACCGATAAACCTGTACCTCACTGCCAGGTCACCAATTGAAATGTTTGAGCCTAACAACCCTCCATGTCGGAGACCTGTTGCAAAGTGCTGAGCAGAGCTTCTTGACCGCCCTTGTGCAACAACTTCGCCTCATGATCCCCATCCGATCCCTTCACCAGCTTCACCCAGCACCATCCACAACCCACTCCACAACCCACTCCACCGTTCCCCATCCAGGCACTCCGTGCAAAGATCTGACCAAGCTCCGGAAGAAGGTCGGAGAGGGCCTGGTTCGTCGCTGTGTTGTGAGGTTGAGACCGGACCACAAGCTCCAACCGAGTCCAAGGGTTTGGAGTCCGAGCCAGTGAGTCGATCATGGGTTGAGTTGCCCACCCAACGCTTCAAGTGATGAGGACTTAGGACCGGGAGCGAAATGGGAAATCAAGAGTGTGGCTTATGTATGTAGCTGTGGAGCTCAAAAGGTGTGGAGTCCCACGCTTTGGATTTGCCTTCAAAGGTGGCTTTGCTCCATCAGCAGAATAGAGCTGAGGGCATGTTGTGGGGTGTACAATGGTGTAATTACGTAGCTTTCGATCAAAGAATAGACATGAGAAGAAGCGCCTCATGGGCACTTGACACAGTCATCTCGTGTGTCACTGGCCATTGCTAGACCTAGAGACGGGTGCATGCAGAGACTGGATAGACCCAGACCCAAACCAAAGAGCCTTGCGAACCTCACAGAGACCATCTCAAGTTTCATCCATTCATGCACAGCTGCTGAGCTGTATGCCAACTAGGATAAATTCCAACAAGGAACCGATGCAAAGGCAGACTTACATTCCTCAGATGCATACCTGCCAACCTCTACATTATGTTCATATCTGTTAAATATCATTCATCCTGCACCTACGATTCGCATGTCGCACCAGTTGGGCACCCATCAATCATGGCACCAAGGGCGTGAACACCCCAGGTACTCCTATTCTGAACAGCATCGTGCTGCTTCCCAGTCCCAGTCCAGGAAAGCCCACCACTTCCCCAGGCTCTAGGGACTCAAAGAGGTGCATCTGCAATGCAACGCCCCTGCGGTGAAACTCCAAACCATCTTCTCCACCACGATGGGCGCCGATGTAGAGCGCTGTGCCATTCGGCCGCAACGGGGGGTCGAAGGGAGCATACCTCAGAGGTCGAAGTGCAAGGCGCTGTGCCATGTGGACAGGCCGACTCGAGTGGCTGAGATCCATGTGGAAGGTCAGAACAGATCCACTTAGCAGCCTTCTGCAAACCAGTTCCTTCCCTGCCTTACCCATTACAAAGAAACGAACGCACTGCGCAGTCACTGCTGGAAACTGTACCACCTGCATGAGAAGTGGCCGGTACGCAGCCAAACGCATGAAATCCAGTATGCTGCTACCTTCGACATGTCGATCTCTAGCAGCATAGCTCGCCCAGAAGTCACAGTCCTTCGCAAGGAGTCAGGAGTTGCTTTGAGATGCCTTCCTTTTGAGGGACCAAAGACACCAATAAGGTTCCTATAACCGAAGACCCCAAGATCCGTTTGGCAACTCTCCCAAAAAGGACCACTTGGAATTCTGCCACCTTCACACAGGGGCTGTCTTAATGGACCCTATAGTCTGCAATGGTTTTTGGTCCGTCATCTCCTCCGTGGCATTGTAGGAATAGCCTGGGATCTGATCCTCGTGCAAGGAGCCCAGCAAAGGCACCCGGCAAGCCATCAGCTCCTTGGATCAGGATCAAGGCCAAAATAGAGAACAAGCAACCTGCATCTTGTCTATGAGGTGTAGGATGTGAATAGGATCTTAGCTAGGGATAAAAGAAAGAAACAGAACTGCATCATGATTACTTAGGGTGCCCATGAGAAAAACTGTTTGGTGTTCACATCTTCCAAGACCTTCGAAACCACGCCATCACGAAACCACCGACTCGCCCGGAAACTTCGCGCCTCGTGCCGCCCGCCATCGCGCGTCTCCAGGAGCAGCTGGGCGCAGCCTTCGAGTCTCCGTGCCGCTTCCCCCAAGTCCAAGGCATCCGCCAGTGAGACGAGTGTAAGTCCAAGGAGCATCGCACGGCGAAGTGAAGCTGGCAAACTGGCAAACTGGTCAGGTGCATCATTTACACATGTGGCAGGTGCATCCAGACTACTAAAAAAAAGACTTGCAGTATTTTGGAGAACCTGCAAACACCTGCAGAAAAAAGGGCAAATGATGAGAATTGAAGAAAAGGATAGCAAAACCGAAGAGCTCTCATCTCAATCTATCAAACCTGACGAGTTTTGAAGAAATGCATCCCATTTGAATCGCTCGTTGGATAACTGGTTGAAACCGGCTCTTTAACCTGTCCAACATAGATCATCATATAGAATCATATAGATAAACATATAAAAGAGTACTCCTCCCTTGGAAAAGGGTCGTAGGAACCCCTTCTACTTGGGCATCTCTTACACCCATCTCTTCCAGCTTGGGCCCCAAATCACGGATCATGGCGCGGGGCAGTGGCACCGCTTGGAATGGCTTGGAGTGGCACCGCTGCTGCAAACATTCAAAGCACAACTGAGGAGGTTGGAAACTCCAGCAAAAATTCGCTGCACAACTAAGGAGATGGAATCTCCTGCAAATTCGAAGCACAACTAAGGAGATGAAACCTCCTGCTAAAACTCGAAGCACACCTCACGAAATGACATCTCCTGCAAAAAGTCCGAAACACAACTAAGGAGATGGAATCTCCTGCACAAATTCGAAGCACAACTGAGGAGGTTGGAAACTCCAGCAAAAATTCGAAGCACACCTAAGGAGATGGAATCTCCGGCAAAATTTCGAAACACGACTAAGGAGACGGAATCTCCTGCAAAAAATCAAAGCACAACTAAGGAGATGGGATCTCCAGCAAAAAACTCGAAGCACACCTAAGGAAATGACATCTCCTGCAAAAATCCGAAGCACAACTAAGGAGATGGAATCTCCTCCAAACAATCAAAACCACAACTAAGGAGATTGGAAACTCCTGCAAGAATTCAAAGCACGCCTAAAGAGACGGATTTTCCTGCAAAAATTCCAAGCATGCACACTTAATGAGATAGAAACTCCTGCCCAAATCCGAAGGACACCTAAGGAGATGGAATCTCCTGCAAAAAATCGAAACACACCTAAGGAGATGAAATATCCTGCAAAAAAATCGAAACACAACTAAGGAGATTGGAAACTCCTGCAAAAATCCGAAGGACACCTAAGGAGATGGAATCTCCTGCAAAAATTCGAAGCACACTTAAGGAGATGGAAACTCCTCCTGCAAAAGATCGAAGCACACTTAAGGAGATGGAAACACCTGCCCAAATCCGAAGCACGCCTAAGGAGATAAAATCTCCTGCAAAAAATCGACGCACACTAAGGAGATGGATGGAAACACCTACCCACCCAAATCAGAAGCACACCTAAGGAGACGGAATTTCCTGCACTTAAGGAGATAGAAACTCCTGCCCAAATCCGAAGGTCACCTAAGGAGATGGAATCTCCTGAAAAGGATCGAAACCCACCTAAGGAGATGGAATCCCCTGCAAAAAATCGAAACACGACTAAGGAGATGGGAAACTCCCGCAAAAATACGAAGGACAGCTGAGGAGAGGAGATGGAATCTCCTCCAAAAATTCGAAGCACACTAAGGAGATGGAAACACCTACCCAAATCCGAAGCACGCCTAAGGAGACGGATTTTCCTGCAAAAAATCCAAGCACACTTAAGGAGATAGAAACTCCTGCCCAAATCCGAAGGACACCTAAGGAGACGGAATCTCCTGCAAAAATCCGCAGCACACCCAAGGAGATGGAATCTCCTGCAAAAACTGAGGCACACCTAAGGAGATAGAATCTCCTGCAAAAATCCAAACCACATGTAAGGAGATGGATTATCCTGCAAGAATCCGCACCACACCTAGGGAGATGGAATCTCCTGCAACAATCTGAAGCGCACCTATAAGGAGATGAAGGAGAAACAGGAGAAACGAAGCTGTTAGGTAGCTGTTGGGTCTTTTGTCGGCCGGTGCCGTGCTGCTCGGGGTGAGAAGCGGATGCGTCGTCGCCGACCACAGCAACGCCTTTTTCATCGATATGGATGAGCAAATCTACGGTAAGCTGGTCATCCATGAAGACCTTCTTCGATGTGGAGTGGAAATAATCACAGAATCAATGGCAAAGGCTTCAACGTTTTAAAGCAATAAGCCTTCATCACCCAAATACTATAGATGGTCACACCCAAGTGTACCTGAGGCACTGGGGAACTGTTGCTAGCGCCGGCTAGCAGCTTGGTGGGGATCCCCTCACCTTGGAAGGTATTGGGGTCAAAACAGGGATGTATGTAAATCACCCACGTTTTCTTTCCTAAACATTTGGCATGGATATGTTTTTACAATCTGCTTGTGATTCCCTGTCAATCTTTCATGGTTTGGTGCAGGTTTGGACTCACGGCGCGGCCAGTGTTTTGACGACGCACTCGTCGCGTCGCGTGTTTGTTGCGAGAGGTGGACCACGCCACCGCCACGCACGGACTGCACCAAAGCGCCGTGCTGAGCCCTGCAGCTTTGTCAGGGATGAAAGCATGTTCCCAAGGTTTCCAGTGGCTCAACTAGTAGGAGGTGTCCATGTTCCCAGGATGTCCAGCGGTCCTAGATGGACCTAGGGCGATATTGGGCTTTGGAAGACTGTTCAGAGTCAAAGACAAGGTGAAACCATACAGCAGCCATAGTGCCAGGGTGCTTGTCCAATGTGAGATAGAGCAGACCACGCGACTTTCGTCAGAATCCATCTAACTCGGGAGTCACAACAGTTATTGCCATCTACTCTAGCCACTCACTTTGCGCTGAAAGGGAAAAACAGCATCAAATCAGCCGGATTGAGGTCCAGATCTTACTGCCCATGCCTCCAAAACATCAAGGCTCCGCCGTGTCGAAACCGCAGGCAGCCGAGAAGCGCACGCGCCCAAAGGGGCCAGGCAGCTTCTCCGGTCCGGGGCCGCTGCGATCAGTGCTTCGCTCTACTTCCCTCTCACCACATTGCTGGCCGGTCGTCCCTGAAGACCTGGCGCTCCGGGTCGGGACGTCACGTGGGTCGGGACGTCACGTGGTCCGCATGTCCGATGGTGGATCGAGAAACTCGACTCCAAAGACATGCAACGAAGGTCCAAGGGATGAGACAGAGAGAACTGATAGAGAGAGGGACCCTACAAGAATAGTGGTATATTCAATATGAGTATAGTAGGGAAGACCTACAGATGGCTCTTCAACCTCTCTGGGGGGTTGGATGGGATTGACTTCTTTCATCGTTCTTTGTTCGAATGGGTGGCAAGGATGGCGGAGATGAGAATGCAGAGGCCATGACCAACAAAAGACTGACATTTGGTTCTAAAAAAAGACCATGACCAGTTCCAGTTCGGAATGGTTTCTATAATTAGGGTGGTTGATGTCCTACCCTTCAGTAGTGTTTGTTCTCTCCTGGTATTGGGCGATGTTGAAACTCCATGGATGTGTCACAGGTACCGCCCGACGAACCGGGCCCCCGCGAGGCCGTGGCCGGCCATGCCACGAAACGCGGGACATACGAAGCCGTGACCGGCAGGTCAAGCGAGGTCGACGTGGACGTGAAACGTAGAGGCCACGTTCTGTCATGGCGACGGATCACCGAAAACAGTAGGGATTCAAACAATAGACATGAATAGTGTGAATAGGTCCGTGTAGGTCTTTTTGAGCAAGGAACCCCCAAGCAGTAGACCCGAGATTTTTGGCGAGTTGATTTGGTTCCAAATTGCCAGGGTCCTCTTGCATGTCAAGAAGGATAAAAAGGCGATAAACCTCGGAGTAATTAGTTACACTTGAACTGCTTGATGAGCTGACCCGAAGACCCAGTTCAGTTCCCCAATGAGTTCTCCTCTTTCTGGCTACAACTTCCGTGCGGAAAGTGAGAGGTTTCCTCTTCATCCTCTTCCCTGCATACACACGACGACCTCCGTGACGCGAAAGTAGCTACAGCTATATATACACCCTCCAAACCCATCCCAAACACCTTTTTTGGGTCGTTGGAGCCCCAGGAATTGATTGCTTCACTAGAATGAAGGACCATGCTACAACCCTGCGACAGCAACATGAAAGTCCAAAACCTTTCCCATGAACACGTGCACCGTCAAAAGGGAGTCAACGATGATGCACTCAAAAGCGGGTCTAGACATTTAAAAAGAATGTATATATATATAATGTAGGCTCTTGATTCATAAACCCACTCAGTTGAATTGGAAATTCTCTTTATAAGGGGGTCTTATTAATCAAGAGTTTACATTAGTCTTCCACCCTCTGGTATCCGACTTCTTCAGACTCACTGATTGGCTCTTGAACTGGATGGGAGTTACTGCCATGCCTCCTTAGGAGGAATGTCACAGTACTCATCTCATCGAAGTTGGAACCTCACATGGAAAACTTCGCTCGGCCATTCGTGGAATTCGCACACTCAACATCAGCTTCGCTGCGGCCCTCTTCTCGGCCAAACGAAGGATGGAGTGGCGAGCGGCCAATTTTCGTGGAACATGCACAAATGTGTCCGCCAAACTCATTCTTCAAGAGATGGAGCAGCAAAACTCGCGCTTCAGGACAGGGAGCAGTTGCACCTCCTCGCTCGCGTGTCAGAAACATTGAAGGCCCTACACAAGAACGATTGTGCAGATGTTCGACACACGGACTTTTGAAGTGTGTTTACACCAAAACCTGGGTGAGATTGGGTGAGATCTGGCGAGGTTCCACGGAACCTCTGAAACCAGCCCACACCCAAAAACCCAGAACAGTCCCGCACCCAGACGAGCCCTGACCCAAACCCCCAGATCGCGGGCGGCATTCAAACACGGCCTAAAATCCGCAGAAAGGTCTCCACCAAACACTGCTCGGACCTGGAATCCACCATGGATTCCGGGCCTTAATAGTCGCTTAAGATTGCTTTGAACAAAATGGATTGTAAAACTTCTACCTCACACCCGGGTCCAGGTCCCCTGCCAAGGTGGAACAAGATGTTTTTTTCGCAGCTCAGACTCTGCCCAAGCGCTCTCTTCACCTCAGGATGCTCAAGGGAGCTGGCTGCCGTGGGCCTTCCGTCCTTCTCGCGACAAAGCATCTCTTGAACCCAGAGTTGCAGCCAAGGCTTGTGGCGCTGCCATTCCATCCTGGGATGGAAGAAGATCGGTCAAGCGTTTCCATCCATTGAAAACGGGCCAACGGCACGGCATCTTCCTTTCTTCGGTGTGGAATCCAATTCAAAAGTGGGTCTTTACATATTCCGGAATGGACCCAAACTCACTCAAGCTCTGAAAAGTTATCTTTTGAGACACCTCTTCAGGTCATTCGATCGTTCTCTATAGTTGACCAAATTGACCGAACCAAATTGAGTCATGTGTATTTTTGGGTCACCTTCATGAGGTGGAGACTTGACATCATAGTCAACCACCAAATTCAGAAATCCACAAACTCAACTGTTTGAAACCGAGGACGTCCTCCGACATGTCCCCACATGTGTTTTGCTTTATATATAGACGTTTCTTTGGTGTCATTTCTGGCCCAGGCATCTGATCAAGCTTGATTGCAAAGCTGCAAACCAAGTGCTCCACTTTGCTTTCCACCACATCGGAGAAGTACGGTGTTCCGCACACAATCTCGTGGATGGTCAAGCCCAAACTCCAAACGTCACAGAGCTCACTGTAGGATCTTTCAAAGACTTCTGGCGCCATATACCTTGCTGGAAGACCATATACTTCAGGTTTCTCTGGCTGTTGTGGGGACTCGGGATGGGTGTTTGGTCAATTTCGACCACTTCATCCGAGCGAAAAATACCAAAGAGTTTGCACAGTGGCATGGCAAATGATTTAGCCGAAGAGTGAATTGACATGGTGACAGGGTGTAAACCATCAAGGACTTGGTGAAAGCAAATACAGGAACACAGAAAGAAAAGGACCCCGAGGCCCGAGACCTACAACTAAGAAGACTATACTTGATGAGGTGCTGGAGGCAAACTAGTATCAAATAAGTTTCCCAGTGTGTTTCCGCAGGGAAGACTATGCGATGTCCAATTCTTCCGTGAAGGAATGATAGAGCCAGTCGATCGAATCACCGCGGGATGGACCTGATCGAAACGGCACCGTGGCACCTGGACCTGATCTTGGATCCCTGCAAAATAAGTGGCATGTATGCTGTTGTCTGGGTGCAAGGTAAAGGTATGCAGGAGTGCGGCAGGAAAACAGTGAGAGCTGCTTTGGCATATGGAAAAATACAGAGCTTCTAAATTATTGTTTCACGCGTTTGAACCCCGAGAGGCAGTGGGATTGGTTGCTAGTGGTCTCTTCATAAACAGTTTGACGGCCAGTAGGCTGCCCGGGCATCTCTCTGCTTCATCGGCGAGGGGAAGAAGGCACTGCGCCTGTGTGTCTTCTGTAATTAACAGTCTTTTTCTGTGCCTGCAAAAGCAAGTCTAATGTTAGTTAGTGGCCGGTTTCTCCTGATGCTATGTGACCAGGAGCGTGTCCTGCAGATTTGGCCGTCTCAGTTGGCAATAAATCGAACCGAATGTGTAGTTGGCATAGTGGATCCATTTTCAACAACGACTTGACTTAAACGAGCGGTATGGTCTGGACGCAGAAAAGAAACCCAGCAGTTTGAACATCTTCAGCATTGCATTAATATAACTGGACAGCTGTTCCAAGAAGATGCTGGGTCAGGTCGTGACAGTCGTGATCGATCTATATAGTTCATTGGGGGGATCTCAATGTTTGATGAAACCCTAGATTAAAACGCATGTTGCTCAGTTCGCCGTGGAGTAGTTGGATTTGTGTCGAGGCTGTACATGAGTTTTTTTTCTTACCTGTATGATAGCATTGAACACACATAGTTTCCAAGTACTGTTTATCGACATAGAACTACGTGCACAACATAATTCACTTGAGGAAGAAACATGGGACCACCAGGGCCACAGCTCAGGTCAAAAGACCACCGCGCAAAAGGACCACAGCTACGACTAAAACGATTGCCACCTGAGCTGCACGAAGGACCCACACGTTTGGGTCATGGGTTCGCCCGGCAGAAACTTCAAGGCCAGCCCAAAATCCGAGAGCCTGAGGTCCGATTCGGTCACTTGTAGTAACAACAACGCTATTAGGTGGAAGGCATCGCTACTAGTAACAAGAGTTCAACTACTAGTAACAAGGCAAAAAACAGAACTCTAAGAAAATACTATTTGATTCGGTCACTTGAGCCTGAGTCCTGTCCTGAACCATATGGATTCCAGTAGATGGTCCTTCACCAGTACTGGAAGAGTAGATGTTCACTAGGTCCAAGGTAAGTAAACTGATATAGACCAACTTGCAAAAAGTTTACCCTCCTCACCGCTGATCAACTGCAAGAAAGGACAGATTGTTCAGTACGAGCGCTCGACCTTTCGCAGCCCACACAACAGGAAGTCAGCCCACCGCATGGCACACCGATGAAAAGAAGTCAACCAACAGGAAGTCACCCCACAATGTTGAATCCCAATGGCACACCATCACCCACAAATCTGTCAACAGGCACTTCTTAAGCATGTTTGTGTGGTGTGCCGCTGCCCGCACTTGCCAAGTGCACACTAAATGCCGGCTTCAATGTGTGTTTCCGAAAGGCACACCGAAGATGCAGCACGCCTGTCTTATGCGGGAGCATGTGCCCCAAATTCTACACTTAGCTTGTGCATAGTGGGCGCAACGGTGGGAGTGGGAGCGCCCCATATTTGGATTCACAGTGTGCTTCTGCAAAGCACAGCGAAGATGCAGCACGCATCTCATGTTGATATACCTGCCAAGGAACCTACTGTTATCTTGCGCGCGCTGGGCACACTTGTGGATGTGTGGCCCACCAATATCTGTCAACTACGGTATCTACTGTATTCAAGCGGGTCCCACATCGCACACTGAAACACGCCACTAGAAGATGAGGAGGGAAGTTATGAAAGCCAGTGTGCCCGCAGATTTGGAGAGGTGTGCTTGCTCGCCTCCTCCCATTGTCACTGAATTTGTAGTGCTTGAACAGCTTTGCAATGATACGCCGGCTGTGTGCGCCTCCACAGTTGATCCCAACGTATGGTGCGCCACTGCGATTGCGCTTAGATGCTCTCTGTGCATTGTACTCCTCAACAAGCATGCCACTGCGATTAGCATAAAGACCTTGCAGTAAACCATTGATTCATAACATACATGGTCCTGTCTGTGCCAGTGCGATTAGATTTATGTGCTGAAGATGAACCGCACACGCATTTTACTACATATGTGCCTGGGGCATGCCATTCCGCAAGGCACACTGGCCATGGCACGACTTCACGCGATGCAGCGCGAGAAAGGTCAAGGACCCAGTAGCACAGCGCTTGTGTTCCGTTTCCTTTAGGACGTCAGAGAGAATCATTTTTGATGCTCTTGCCGTGGCTTCCTGACACTTAGACACTTGGAGAATCACCGGGTTGAACTCTACGAGGGTCAGCTCGACATGTCTTCTGATGCAAAGGGGGGAGGGGGGGACAGGTGTTGAAAAGGCATTTTCGAACCAGGGGGGTTGAACATAAAGAAAAAGCATATATCAATATAAATTATGCATGTGTCTTGTTCCCTCGGTGTTTCTGGAAACACCGGCTTTGGGATATGTATGAGAGGGAAAGGAGGGATCAAGACCCGAAAGTACGCACAGAGGGGGGGACGCACTCACCTATGCACCTCTACATGTTACAACTTCCAAGAAAAGAAATGCATGAAAGCACTGTCTCATTCCCGGGAATGAAATCTGGAGACCGGGAAATGCACATTGAGAAGGGGGGTACACCCCCTTGAATAAAAACCATATGGGCCGTATGTGCCAACTTCTATGCCCAAGGACCCTCTTTGCGACCTGGGATCATCTTGATCTGGGAGCCCTCTACACCAAGGAGCTTTAAGACAGGAAAGAAGCTCTTGGCTCCAATCAACCAGTTGGAGGGTTTGATGTCCCGATGTGCTATCTGCACCTGTGCGACGGCACGCGGCGCAGGCGGGGGAAAATGTCTCACACAATGGCGGATGTCGCACGCCACTGCCGCCACTGGTAACCTGGTACAATTCAGAAAGGATGTGGTTGTCTCTCACCCAGAAAGGGACAGGGGGAGGTCTGACTCTGTGTTCGACATACACATGACTCAGTGAGAACCAACAATGCATCATCGCCGCATCTGCTACACTCCAGAGTTCTCACCAGCACCACCTGTTCCAGTGACTGTAGGGGAACCCCAAATCGGATGTCCACAAGGATCCGGCCCTCCACCGGAATTGGAAGATTCATTTCAGGTCAGGTTGCCTATGAAGATGTCCTCCTTGTGCGTTCTTTGCTTGGTTTTCGATCGAATTCGATCGAAGCCTCGTGGATGTACTTGACCGCTGACAGCATCTGTCGGGCTAGCCCGGCCGTCTCTCGAGTACCTGGCTGGGGGACGCAGCCGGTTTTCTCCCACTTCCGCCCGGCAAACCGGGACCAAGCGGGGTCAACTCCGTGAGTACCATTGAGCAGATTCCTCCAAAGGAGGGATCTCAACCTTCTATGGTTTGTAGGGTGAGATTTTAACACACACCCATGTGGCGCAAGGGTGTAGTTGTCCTTTTCAAAGCACCCCCCAAACTCTTGCTTGGTGACTCCTCGCTGGACGAAAACAGCGAAAAAAAAAGAACACTCGTGAAGGCACTACCATTAAGGCAATCCCGCCACACCACCACTTCGGAATAGAATGTTGAGCCATGTTGAGCCTGTCTTCCGGAGTCCTGTTCAACAAGTGATCCACTCGTAGTATGTATATTATGTTCGCATTGCAGTATCTTTCAGAGTCAAAGTTACTTGGCTAAATCCTGAGTGAACAAAACCCACACAGACTGCGTATTTGCCAAGTTCAATCCCCTCATATCTGCTCTGCGGTCGCTTGTGCGGACTCTTCAATTGGCTTTCATGTTTGTCCACACGCGAAGGGCTCAGGGCTCACATTATTCTCAACCGTCAACCGTTGGCTGTCTGTTTCCTCACGCCTGGCGAGTCGTAGAACTTCTGCTTGGTCACGAACTCTTCTTCCCAGCGATCCTGGATCCTGGGAGTCTTGGTTTCTCTTCTTCGTTCTTCGTGTCTTTTTTGAGGTTGGGGGGCCATTCCTATGAGGTGGAGCCCATCGCGAGTAGGTTGGACCCCGCGTTTCGGCCACCAAGGCCCGCATGAAACTCTGGACGATCGGCGTGGTTTGGACCCACGGCATTTTGGATCGCGAACGAAGAGACGAAGAGGAAGATGCTCCAGGTTGAGCTGAAGGAAAGAAAGGTCTCCCAGTACTTTTGAAGTACATGAGTATACAATACAAGTACCCACACCAGACTTGCCAAAACCCAAAAGGGGCAACTGTCACTGTGGCACTGGTACTCAGAACTGTCCGATTTTGCTGCAAGAACCACATCCAACTTCTGGCTAAGGAAGAAACTACGACTACGACTACTGCTACTACTCCTGCTACTGCTACCATGAGTTACCACTTCCGGACAACGACCATCCAGTGACAGTGTTTTGCCAGCGATTGAACAGGTGCATAAACGGCGGGGTTTTCACCCCACCGAGCGCAGGTGGTTGAATCAAGGCATGGCACCCCTGAGCACCTTCTGCATAGCAAGTAACAAGGACGCTACTAGGTGGAGGCCAGTAACAAGAAGCGCCCCCTGAGCACCCCCGTTGTGCAGCAAAGGTTCCAATTTTGCAGATCGCCTCCGCTGCAAAGGCTCAAGAGCAGGTGCATCTCACCTCCATCCATGATCACTTGTTCCAAACGCACGATGTGCTGATGCCCCAGATTGGACATGACCAACCTCTCGTTGTCCGAGGTCACTGGCACCTCAGAGTCTTCACAAGAAGATAAAATGTAAATTTGAAAATAAAACGATTCCAAGATGTTCCAAAGCAATTCCGTCAGAAAAATGTAGATTATACATCAGAAAGTATATGGATACCAAGCACATCAGAAACATTCAACAGTCCATGGTATCTTTCAACACCCGTCACCCAGCGTTGCTCGAGCACCGGTCTCGGTCCCACGGTGGGGGACTGGGAGAGAGGGGGGATGGAAAAACACAACTGCAATTGGCTGGTGAGTACAGAAAATCATTATGTCGTTGCCACATGTTGTCATAACTATACCAAGGGCCCAAGGGCCGTGTTTCACCTGGTCGAGGGTGTCAACTGCTGTGTTCCCAACACTCACGCGGAGAATCAACCTTGCCAACGCTCATCTAATTTGGGTGTTCAGAGAAACCATGGAACTAATTCATACTAATTCTAATTTTGGTCAACCCGAGGACACTCATCGATGCCTGGCTTTAAAAATTGGTGTTTTCCCTGTAGTTTCACCCATTCCTCATCCGCATCGCCGTTCCCAGTCACCGTTTTGGCCGCATAGCGGTGCTTGGTTCGCTTGCACTTCACTTCTCGCACCACGCCAAAGCTACCACTGCCCAAGGGTTGCACAAAGTCATAATCCTCCGCGCGTGCTCGGGATCGAAACTCCCTGAAATCGAAGAGATCATGGGAGGGGAAAAAGGACCTGTTTTGTAGAGGAAAATGGTCATCCGAAGGGATATGTCATTTACAAATTTACAACATGTCTTGGTCCACCCGAGGTGTAGCGAGGACTTCTTTCAACTGCCTAGGTGAAGTGAACATCTCAGGGTGGTTTAGGCTGTTCTGGAATTTCTTTTTTGGTTTGCCAGCGTCCCAGGTACTAGGCTTGATGGACCAAAATCCTGAAGCCTCTGATAGCAACAGGATGTCCATGTGTCTCTTACTGTAAGTCTGTCCAGTACTTTCTTCTGCAAAGATCCTTGCAGAAAGAATGAACAAATCCACATAGCCATCATGATCATGGGGATTGTCGGGCTTCATGGGAAAATGAATTAGTCGAAGAGTTTCGGTGACCTGGCCGATGTCCGGCCACGCTGCGCTACGCTGCGCTACGCTCCATTGCGATGATTTGCCGGTCCTCCCAAATGATGCTCATCATGGTGGACGGGGAGGGACATGCAGGCCGCAGATCTTCACTTGGTAGCGATGGATTGGGCATGGCCACGAACGCCCTTTTGCCAGGGTGGCCCCTGGCTCTAAGGAAGTTCTTCCAAAAAATGCAGAGGGTTCAAAATACCTCAATCTTGGTGAATCCCTACAGTGCTAGTCATGTCAACATGTTTGACTTTGGACTCCTGAGACCCAAAGTGAAAGACCAAGTCACAAGAGGACACCGCACCCGTTGGCCGGGCGCGAACAAAACGGCCGGGGCCAATCGGCGCTCTACTGGGAAATCTTAAAAAGGCCGATCTACGAATCTTCCAAGCTCTCGCTGAGCGGGGTTTGAGCCATTCAGAGGTGGAGGGATGAGGTGATCATCGAACGGGAATCAGAAGGAGAAAATGCTAGGTACCATGTGTGCAAATTTGGTTTCACTTGGGGATAGGCCTCTATATGAATGAACCTAATATTAGTACAAGGCCATCTATGGGCATAGGGTCCGATTCCGAGTGAATGCCACCGTATGGCCGTACAGCAGTTAGTTTCGAGGATCGAAGTAGTAGCTTCTTGTTGCGTTCGTGGCGATGGCCTCCAACCTATATACCAGCCTCCTTGGGAAGGAGGCGCGTAACCGCGTCCCCAAACTTCGACCGAGTTGGTTGCGCCTGTGAAGTAGAAGTGGATGTGATGGTCCCATCCGAGTCCATCCATCGCCTCCAGGGTTGCAGCCTTGGTGAGACCAGAGCAGCATGGCCCCAGGCCACATGACGTGGACCAATACTCGGACCCGCTCCACTCAAGCGGGCCTCAGGCGGAGGCTTCCTGGCGTCCGAAGTGCGGAGGGAGGTGATGTCCAATCGAAAGTTGTTGTTCTCATATTCTCATGGCCTTGACTGAACAACTATTGTCTCTTGACTGAACAACCTGGTTTTCAACGTCCGAACAAATGCTTCTTTTGAGGGAGCCGGTAGGCCACCGTTTCAGCACCCTTTCGGCACCGTTTCGCAAACCCCCGCGGCTCAGGCTCCAGCGGCCGGCGGCAACACAGGCAAATCGGCCTGTGGAGGGGACAGAGGCGGACGAAATAGCCCAATGGATTGCAGTCTCATTATGTTGTTGGGTGGGGAGTAAGAACCCCAGGGGGGTAACATACATACCTCGTTTGCGGAGGTTAGTAAGTATCTAGCAGGCAACCCCTGCC